ACTTAAAAGGATTACATAAAATTCCGTTTGACACGGCTATTTTGATCATTGCTGCATGCATTAAATTTTATCCTGATAGAAAGAGAATGTGAAATAAGTTACCGGAATTCTTCGAACGTCAGTTGGGCCCAACATGTTGCGGAAATGGGTCTGGGCGCGCGCGCGCGCTAGCACATATTGTCCGAGTCGCGATCCTTCCCTCGACGAACTTTTAAAAGATGATTTTTGTTGTATACGCTTTACCTTTCTCAACATTTTGCTCCATTTTTCCCCAACGTAAGAGTATGTAAGCTTAACATTACTTTTATAATTTAAAAAAAATGTCTCATATGTCTTAAAGCATCCAATATCCTTAAGGTTATCGCATCTTTTATCTATAAGGTTATCGTTTTCTTTTATCTATAGATGATAAAATGTGATGGTTATTTTGATTTTTGGAATTAGCTTCGGAATGGAAACATGTTAAAGAGAGAGAGAGAGAGAGACAGAAAATATTATTTTTTATGAGCCAGCAACTCGAAATTTGTATTCCAATTGCGTTCTGTTGAAGCGCGTGCATCGGCTGGACTTATTGATTTATTCAGAGGGTGAACAACCACCACCATCATTACTACCACCACCACCACCACCGCGACTACCACCACTACCCTTGACACCCCCTTTTCCCCGGACGCCTAACGTTGGAGAGCACACGCGTCATTGTCCTCGACCACTCTCACTATTTCCAACCCCCAGTGAGGTAGCCTTGCAAAATTGCAGCTGATACCGTACTTCCAACAAGTTGTCGGCGAACTATCTCGTCATGCTCGGCCAATCAAGCGTCTAGTGCATAATGTACATACTAGCGCGACACGAAAAAAAGGGAGTCGCCAACCGAAAGTTTGCGAAAAGAGATGTCGTTTGTCAACTTGTTAGATCGTAATTTGGCGGAAAGTACCATGCAATAAAAATCAATAGCGAAATTATCAAACAATGTTTCCTGCTGCAAAATATATTTCGTTGAATAATTGAAAAAGAAAAGAAATTAATTTCAATAAAGTGCAATATTGTACGCCAATATTGTATCGGAGCGATATCATATTAATATAATTAGATCTAATTACGAACTCATCTGTGCTAGCATCCTCGTGTTACGTAATACTATCAGTAATTGTGTGTCAGACCGACCTACACCGCAACCTTGAACGCTACGACAGATTTACACACATCTCTAATTCCTTTGCGGTTCGAACCTTCGAGATTCAAACGTTTCGTTCTAAATACACTAAGCAAAATTACATCTCGGCGAGTCCAATATCGAGAGGACATAAATATTGGCACAGCGTGGTCGCAACCATAAAATGTTCTGTATTTTCGTGGTAGCAAATTGTTTATACTTTTGTGAAAATTTGTATTTTTTGTTTTTCATTTAATTGTACAAATTAACATAAATGAACGTAATTACAAGAAGAAAAACGCTTTCCTATAAAAATTCTCCTGCGAGCTATTCTCACATTATACTCTCTATGAAGCTGTATGAAGAATGCGTACTGTATGTTCAAACTAACGTTTCGATCATACTTTTTATTCACCTGTACAGCAATTTTATACACAAATTTTACAATATTTTTTCGTTAATTATCTTTTGTCATGAGAATCATGCTAATTTCTAAGTGTCTATTAAAACTCTCCATTCAAGATCGATTTTATTAACACTTAGATATGGTACCTAGTACTACCACTATTTTTTATTATTTCTTTTAATTTAATATTTTAAATATTTTATTTGATAGTAAATAAACGTATTACGATCTGGCTTTTCTTGTTACATTTATAGGAATCCTTTGAAAATTTGATTGTAAATAAAACTGAAACTGCAATGAACAAACAAAGTGCAGAACGTGAATAAGGTATCGCTGAGAAACGCGGGGTCAACGAACTCGGCGCTCTCGACTCGGCAACGTTACGAGAAATGTCGGTACAGGGTCGGGTAAAACCTGAAAAGGTCACGCTTTCTGGTGTAGGTTAAGGCTCCTTAAGGACGGATCAACACACATACGTCTAACTGATATACTCCGAACGGCAATCCATTCTGCGACCAGTTTACTACTCGTGTCCTTATTCCCCAGGTATGGGCCGTGTCTCTTTTTCCGAGACATCCTCCTCCTCTTCCTACCCTTCCTTCACCCTCTTCCTTCTCCGGGTTTCGCCACTTCTCTATCGCTCTTTCAATAAACCCGTGTCTTGAATTTTGATTTAAAAAATCGCACAAAAAACCCTCACTTGAATTGCTGTCCTTGGAAAGCTGTCCTATACTTGCATCTGCAAAACATTCCGACCCCCTAAGGATTAAACGTACTTTCGACATAGCAAAAGTTTTACACGTAAAATCAGTGAAATGAGAAAATGTACTTAAAAGTGTAAGTCTACATCGGAAAGATGAGGTATGAAAGCGTAAACATTAACATTGTTTTACAATTGTGTTACGAATGTAATTGCAGAATTACCGATTAGCCGTGCAGATAATCGTAGAAAACAAAACAAATCGCTTTAATTGTGAGTTATTAAGATCGTAGTGGCGTAGATAGCTCGCGGACGTTCTTAAACAGTTTATTTCCGAATCGTTGATTATGTGGCACGTTCTAAAATGAAAACGATTAATCGAAAGGATTGCAGAAACTGCTAGATATCGATCGTTGGACGAGGAAAGACGAATGACACCGGAAATGTGAACTTCTTTCGGTGCCTCGTGAATTTCATTTCCGACTGACCGAGTTACACGACGGATTCTACGATTTATTAAATGGTGGGAGAAAGACCGTATCTACCGATCGCGTCATACTTTTCGCTTCCCTAATAATCGGTCTTCCACGTCACTTGACGCTTTGCCAATACATCCATTGGCAAGCACATTAAGGAGGTTCTACAGATACTCTCTAGTCAGTTGAGAGATGAAGAGAAAATCTTCAAATTCATCGGTTCTAAGTATTCATAAAATATTTTCGTGAATTTTGATGACGTTAGAGCTTATATCATACCCATATTAGTCGAAGCGAGGAATAATTAAAAATATCGTGTAAGTGCTCCTTTGACTCTGGCGGCTTATAATGGAAGAAAATGTGGTAACGTCGCGAACTTGACAGTTCTGCTCATATGACCACGGTTATTTCACAATTTCACATAATTCTAGAGCGAGTATTCTCCGTAAGCGCTCGTAAACGTTAGGTGCTTAAGTTTGAGGTGCTGTCATACTGTGGTGCTGTACTGGCTGTACACTTTTCGCGCGGGTGCAGTCGCTGCGACATTGCCAAATCTCCCTTGTTATTCGAAGCACGCTACGTGAACTGTGATATGGCCTGTTTCAATAGCCAATATCACAAAATTTTACGCGATAACCCTTGTTTTTCTCGATATTTCTGAAAAGCTTAGATTAAGATCTATAAGAGCTCCGTTTTTTGAGCTTTGGTGGGTCGCCTTTATATAATTAATATCTCGTTTCCTGTCTCCAAGAGCCCCTCTGCCATATGTAGTTTATGTTAAAAACTGTGATTTCAAAATTCATTTTTGCAAATTTTTACACGGTAAACCGATGCTAAAATTTTTCGAGCACTTTTCTTGCATCTCAATTTACACGTCCATAAAGTTTTTTCCAATTTTTAGATACATCCATTATCTGTAGAACCTCCTTAAGAAGACGACCGAGATTTTCTTCTCATCTGGCAAGGAAGTCATATTTCGCTCATCGAATTGTAACGAAAATCGATGTGTTATTTTTTAGACCTCATTTTGATAGCTAAAAAAATAATGGTTAAATCCGTGTAATAACAGATCACTTGAATATGTTTATAATAAGCGTATTAGATTAGCAATATTTATAATATTGACAATTTTTATGATAAATGTATATACAGGATGTGCCATTTTAAATGCCCCAGGCATTTCAATACATATATATATAAAGGTAATTCGTATAAAGTGATCGATTTAATTATTAACGAAAGACATTCAAAGACATACGAAAAAATAGTTTATACCGAGATGTTCAATACAAAAGAAGACATTATATGGTAGAAATGATTAGTTTATGGGTGGAGGACACACACACATTTCAAGTCAATTTTATTTTTTTAAATGAAATACTATATTTTTTATTTTATAGTATATTGTACAATAACTCTTTTTAAGTTTCACTATATAATGTCCTCTTTTGTACTGAAAATGTCGATATAAACTATTTCATATGTCTTCTTTCGCTAATAATTAAATCAGTCAATTTATACAAATCACCCTGTATACATGTACATGCGCAGGGAGAGATGCTTAAAACCAGCCATCTAAACACTCTTTCATTTTTAATGATATAAAAAGAAATGCTTCAAACGAAACTTGTTTGCTTTCAAGAGGAACGTTCGAGGATGACACGATTTTCGTTAGTGCTGGTCTACAATCTTGCTTTAAAGGGTATTTAAGCTCTAAGCCGTAAGAAATTGGCCAATCACAGTCGAATATTCTCCTCACATTTCACTGTGATTGGTCAATTTCTTACGGCTTAGAACTTAAATATCCTTTAAAGCAAGGTTTATAGACCAGCACTTATAGGTCAGAGGGACAAGGATATTTAAAAGTCACCAACTTTTTTTAAATGGAATGATATATTTTTTTATTTATCTTTTAATAGAGTTTATTTTAAAACGCATACGGTGATGTATCAAGGTTGCATATTAATATACAAAGAATTAAGAAACTTCCTTAATTTACTATCTTAAATACACAGTACTATTGTAAATGTTCAAAATGGTGACCTTGAGCATTGATGCATGCTCTGAAGCGATTCGACATGGAAAATACTGCATTTTGAATTTTATTCGTATTGTAGAATATGCTCTTATACAGCATGATGATAATTACCAGACACCCTGTACATACATATGCATATATAAATACACATTTTCTGTACATTTTGTATTTTTATAAGTTTGTATTCCATTGTAATTTCGAATTCTTATTCTTTGCTGTTGCAGGAAGCGGTAGCAAAGATGGGAAGGGCAGCAAAGATAACAATTCACCCTCTGGCCCTTATGCCGGTAAGTTGCACAATTATTTCTTTGCATCGTAATATTTCAAATATAACATTAATTAGCTTTTAAATCTACTCTTCTTTTACGACTACATTTTTTGTCAAGACAATATTGTTGCTCCTGATTTAATATTACAATATTTTTCGAGCACAAATCTGAAGCTGAAAGAACTAATTAGATACTATATGGAATACTATGTCTAAATCTCGCAGAAATTTTTATTATTTTAATCAAGATTATTAGAAAATAATAATGAAATATCTTTTTTGATACGGAAAAATACATATTAATATCACCAGATACCTTCTATGTCCTGAGAAACACAAATTTTGAAGTATCTTTAGTGCTTTTTCTTAGCAAGAAATTTAACAAGTTCTTAATCTCAGTGTTAGGAAGTTAAAGAATTGTAGCGATACGCAGCGTCGCGCGAGAAAATAAGTTGTCCGTCCGATTTATTTTGGTCGCAGATCCTCATAGGCAATATTTCGACTGCTTCTTATTTGCCGACTCTCTCTCTCTCTCTCTCTCTTTCTCTCCCTCCCTCCCTCCCTCCCTCCCTCTCTCCCTCCCTCCCTTCCTCCCTCTCTCCCTTCTTCCCTCTCTCTTTTTCTTTTCGGCAGTAGAGTCCGATTCGAAAATAGCTGAGCGTGTCAGCCCCCTGGAAATGAAATCCCTCGGTGTCACACAATCCGTTCACTCGGAGGGACAATGTAGCGAACCGTCGCGCGTCGCGTCGCGCCGCGAACTTGACACCGCGATCACTTTAATGAGGCTTAATACGAACGCTCATAGAACGTGGATCATGATGAGCAAGGATCGGTTACTTCAGTTCTATTAACCATACATTATTATCGTATGTAAGAAGGGCGTCGTATAAATTAAATGCGTTCCATATTCGCTTCAGAAAACAATAATTTTGCTAGTAGTAGTATAGACCCCCATCACACGGATTGGAGAAAGGTCCAAATTCGAACCCTGACTGGGGTGATATTTTTCGCAATAAATTCTTTACCTACACTCTTTACAGTGATTTAGAAAGGATGCTTATTGGCATCAAAAGTTATATAGATTATTGTTTATTTAAGTATGTGAATTTACTGTTCCATAAAAAATTGTTTGCTGAGTTGGAAAAAGTATATACAAAAATTTACACAAAAATATTATTGTTAAGCTACCAAGATTCAGCTCGACCGAAGATGTTACTTCTCTATTTAATTGTAATATTTCTACTCTACCTATAATTATTACATTCAAATATAATTATCTTAAAAAAAAGTTAAAGAATGAATTTGACTTTATTTAGCAAAAAAATAAGATATTTTTATAATTTTAATTGTTCGAAAAAAGTTACTGTAAAAAAGGTTTAGGAGTTGTCAGTCATTAAAAGTTATATAGCATACGCGCGTTGACAGGTTTAATATATATATTACATATGAAATGAAATGAGCTGCAATTGCAAAGTTTAGCAAAAAAAAGGGAATTATCAGTGTTTTCGTAGTTACCTCCATGCTCAATACGAGTTCGGGCTTGAGAAAAGTTTTATTCTATTTAAAGTTATAAGATTATCTTTATATTACAATTTTCAACTGAAACGACTCTTAAAATCTAATTTACAATCTCTCTGCGGTATAATAGACCAAGTATAACCATGAAATCTCATTAATCTTAATCTTCAAATCAAATTCTTTTTAAGGAGATTGAAAGGGATTTAACAATATATTTCATTTTGAATAAACTTTAGGCGGAACATGTAATAACTGCGGCGTGAGGCAAAACGGTCTTTAATCTTAAGGTTTTATTATTACGTAATAGAGCAATTTAGAAATTCGAAATTGTATTTGATATAAAAAAAATCTACGGGAAATTATTGTTCTTTTTCTTGGGATTTGGAGAAATTATTTTTTTATTAAACTTCAACTATATTTCCTATAGTATATACGAAATGCGTTTCGCAGTTGTCTCTAATCTTGGTCGCCAGGAAAAAGTCGAGGAAGCTCTCCCGTTTCGTCGATATAATCGTACAATCTCTTTTATATTCCGTTCGTAACCGAATTTAGTGCGCACCGCGGCGTGGAATAGCTGTAGGATCATGGTGCGCTCCGAAATATCGCGACCCTCTCTACGCTCGCTTGCTTCTCCGTCTCCTCCACCGCGCCGCGCCGTGGATCTAACGCGTCTATTAATATTCGCCGGTTATTTTCGGAAACGTGTGCTTACCGAGTAGGAAGGCCTGCTTTTTAATGTGCATATAGTTACACCGGTCCCCATCGAGGCATTCTCGAATGCGCGCGATCGCACCCGCTGCGTCAACGTATCGCGCGATCAACGATCGTTTGCTACTTACATTATGAGGAGATACCGATAATTTTGTGACAACGTGATGCAAGAATAATCTCTGAGAATTTTATAAACGCTTGAAACAAATGACGCTTGAAAAATTAAATGAAGGTTGTTTTCCAATTATTAAAAATATAAGAGCAGTATAGTGTAATGCAAATCAAGTTAAAATTAACTCAATTAATTTAATATTATTATTAATTTATTGTTATACATGATTAAGGAAAGTTAAGTTAGTCGATATTTAATTTTGAATATATAACAAGACTTTAAATGACAGAACTACATTTCTGTATAAAAATCTCATTTAACAGTGCTTATAATTCGATAACTAAAAGTCATCACCCTTTTTGCTTTCTCCTGTATAAGCAGAAATAATTGTTAAGTTGCTAAAATCTTTGGAAAATTGTTTTTTTTCTTTGGCGCATTCCCATTATTAAAGATTTACATATATCTATATATTTTTCTGAATATTTTACAGAATGTAGTTTTCCTCCCACACATATGATACTTTTTGACATTGAATACAAATAAAATTAGTATGTTTCTTGCACTCTTGGCATATCTTATCGATAAACTGCGATAGCTCAGATAGCGATCGCTTCGTTTTCGCGTGAATAAGTCGTATATAATGCGGATTGTCGAGTTAATGCTAAGTTACCTTGAAATTCAATATTTTCCAAAGATTTTCCAAGATTTTCCCAAATCTAGTTTTTCCGTTCCTTTCGGGCGGTGAACGCGTGAACGCGAGGATTTTCAAATAAGAAAATATTAATAGCTTGACCGGCTTGGGTCGCATCCAATAATAGCAAGTCATTCTACATAACGTTTAGGTCTACATACAAGGACTGGACCCTCATATCATAAAAATTTTATATTATTAAAATTTTGAAGCGTCAAGAATCAATCATCCGAAATTCTTCGTGAAAATGGAAAAAAAAATAAAAAACTACGTTTGAATTTTCTGAATCACTTTCTTATTTTTATCTATGTTCCACGAATGATTATTCCGTGACATTATTTCGTAGCTCTAAATCCGCTAACGAGCAAATTTATTATTAGAAAGAAGCGTATTACGATGTATTTTTAATAACCCGACGTAAATTCCCGAAAATTCAGCTCTGATCGTTTCTGATTTTATTCGGTTATCCTTAAACATTTACATGTCTATAATTGAGACGTTTGGGATTCTGATCATTACTATATAACGTTTTACCATAACTTCCATGATAAGGAATCGATATTCTGAATTTCATAGCGCTCTTTAGGAGTTCATTAACGACGAGCGATTTAATTCGATGTCCGAAACCACTTTTTCTCGACTGAATCAAGACGGAACTCAATATTCCGTCCCTTGCGTCTTCAAGCGTCGCGTGTAACGTGTCACAAGTCTCGCAATTTCCCGAAACGGAGCCTCAGAGAGGGTCTCGCTTCACATTCGGGACGCTCTATCAGCTGACGGCTGCGCGAGAACAACTTCGTGAGTGGGTGAAGTGGAGGCTTTACCGGGCGAGAGTTTCACGTCGGGGGTTTAACGGACGCCAGAGTTCAATGTCCTTTTGAAGGAATCGACCACGGGCAAAGAACGGGCCCGGAAAAGTCGGCGGGACAGGGAGAAAACCACGCACGACCATGCACTCGGGATACTGCATGCGCGCGAGAGATCGGACACACCCAAGAGTCTGCGTCTCCGCGTCCTATAGGTATACATTATCGGTATTGATCCGCACGCATCGGCTCTCCTCCGCGGCAGGGCCCCATCTTCCTTCCTTCCTTCCTTCCTTCCATCCCTCGACCGTTCATTGGCCCGCGCCGCTCCACAACACGTCACTCTCCATTACTCTCTCCTCTCTCTCTCTCCATTACCATCTCTCTGTTTCTCGACGTGACCCTTCGCGACCCTCGATCGCGGGTCAATCCCTATCTCAGCTTCCAGGATACTTGGGAAAAATTTAGGAAAATTATAAATTTGCGTGTTAACGACCTCGATCACGCAGAATCGTGATTTATTACGCCTGAGAAATAACGTTTCGTCTTATTAAAATTAAACTGTGATAAAGAGACTCGCTCCGAATCAAATTCAAGGGAAAATATTAATAAGTTATCGGGCCATGAAGCCCTACTTAGTTACGAATTTAATACATTAGGCTCCATGACCCGATAACTTAATAGCTTCCTTTGAGTTTTATCTTATTTTCATTTATATAAGGCGAATGAAGATCAAAACAGAATGATGACGTTTCATCTCAACATCTGAAATATTGAAGCAGTTTATTGCAGAGTCGAAGAAACCTTTTAATTCTTCCGATTTGGTATTAACCTTTAAAGGACGGGTAGGTTTTTTCATGACTTTTTATGATTTTTACTTATAACTTCCATATATGTGTTAAAGTGTTAATACTATGAAAAATAAGCTCCACCCCCGTGGAGCCTAAAAATAAGCTTCCCGTCCAGTAGGTTGACAGAAATGGAAAAATTGCATAAAACATTCATATGGATATGATTGTAAATTTCAGAAAAATTATTATTTATATTTAATTTTGAATGAGAAATATGGAAATACTTTTTGCAAAATTTTGTTATAAAAATATACTTTGAAATTCAGAGCTAAAAATGCCTACAAATTCATAAGGACTTTATGAGAAAAAAAATTTTTATTTATATACGTT